AATTTGATGCTTTGGTGATCATGGCTGCCTTATGTGAAGCACAGAGAGGTTAAGTGACTTGCCAAAGGTCACACAGCACTTCAACGGCAGAGCCAGGAATTTGAACCCAGGTAGCGTGGTTGAAGCATCTGCAGCCCTAGTCACTATGCCACCTAACCTTCTATATACTAAGACCCCTTGGCACGTTGCCTACCCTCCTCATCCTTCCCAAAATGTGTCCCCAGATCCTTAACCCCTTCCCCACACTCAACTGGGAAACTCCAAATCTCCACTTCTGAGTGGCCCGCCTCCCATGTCTCTCACTCCAGAAGATGCCTACCTGTGCCCCTACAACCCACCTCCCAACCAGGAGGGGGCTGGGCTGGGCCGGGCCATCCACTAGGGCTGGATGTCCCCACCGTGTCAGGGAGGGGCCTGGCTGGAATGTCCCCTGGACCCTGCACTCCAGAACAGCTGGGACCATGCTGCCTTGTCGGTCACCCTGGACCAAGTGGCCCTTGGTGCATGCTTGTTGAGTGAATGACTGGCTCTGGTGGTCTGAGGCTGTTCACTTTGGGTACCAAAATGTCCCCTCCACCTTGATCTGGGGTAATGGCCAAGGACAGAGATGGTAAAGAAGGGAGGGAGGGACTGGGTGCGGTGGCTCACGCCTGTAATCCCAACACTTTGGGAGGCCGAGGTGGGCAGATCACTTGAGACCAGGAGTTCAAGACCAGCCTGGTCAACTTGGTGAAACCCCATCTCTGCTACAAATGCAAAAAATTAGCCGGGTGTGGTGGTGCGCACCTGTAATCCCAGGTACTTGGGAGGCTGAGGCAGGAGAATCGCTTGAATCTGGGAGGCAGAGGTTACAGTGACCTGAGATCACACCACTGCATTCCAGCCTGGATGACACCGCAAGACTCTGTCTCAAAAAAAGGAAGGGAAAGAGTTGGCCGGTGAGCATTGGAGAGGTCGCTGGGGGCTGCTGGGTGGACATTAGGGACAGCATTTGAGGCCAAGCCAGGGTGGGGGATTTGTCATGGGAGCAGGTAGGGTTGAGGACCCTAAGGGGGTCTGCCGTGGTGGCCAGGTAGGAGTGAGGGCCCTGGAGGGTCTGTTTTGGGGGGCAAGACAGGAGGTGGAGCCCGAAGGAGGGCTGTCATGGGGGCAGGATGGGAGTGGGGAGGCCATGGCGGAGGCTGTTCCAGGGACAAGGCAAACCAGGCAGGGGGAACCCTAAGAGGGGGATGTCACCTGGCCCAGGGGGAAAAGGGAGTGGCCAGAGGCAGCAGCTATGGAGATGGGGAGAAGCAGGTTATTTTTTTGAGAAGAGCCAGGCCCTGGTGCTGGGTGAGTGGTGGGGTGGAGGATTGGGAAGTGCTTGGACAAGGCCTGGGCCTGGGCCGGGGTGTCTGGGTGGATGGACGGACTGTCCCAGCAATGGGGACACAGGAGGAGGAAGCTTGGGAACAAGTCCAGCTGGGCCATGTTGTGAGGACACGGGATAAAGTCTATTTCCAGGATGGGGCTGGAATGGAGTTTGGTGTTTCTTTTCTGTTTTTCTTTCTTTCTTTCTTTCTTTTCTTTCTTTCTTTCTTTCTTTTTTTTTTTTTTTTTTTTGAGACAGAGTTTAGCTCTTGTTGCCCAGGCTGGAGTGCAATGGCGCGATCTTGGTTCACTGCAACCTCTGCCTCCTGGGTTCAAGTGATTCTCCTGCCTCAACCTCCCAAATAGCTAGGATTTCAGGTGCCCACCACCATGCCTGGCTAATTTTTTTTTTTCTTTTTTTTTGTATTTTCAGTAGAGACAGAGTTTCACCGTGTTGGCCAGGCTGGTCTTGAACTTCTGACCTCAGGTGATCCACCTGCCTCGGCCTCCCAAAGTGCTGGGATTACAGGCGTGAGCCACCGCGCCCAGCCCCTTCCTTCCCTTTCCTTCCTTTCTTTCTTTCTTTCTTTTTTTATTTCTTTTTTCCTTTCTTTTCCTTTTTTCCTTTCCTTTTCTTTTTTTCTTTCTTTTTTCCTTTCTTTTCTTTCCTTCCTTTCTTTCCTTTTCCCTTCCTTTCCTTCTCTCTCTCTCTCTCTTTCTCTCTTTCTTTCTTTCATCTCACTATGTTGCCCGGGCGGATCTTGAACTCCTGGACTCAAGTGATCCACTCACCTCAGCCTCCCCAGTAGCTGGGACCACAGGCACGCACCACCATGCCCTGCTAATTTTTATAGTTTTTGTAGAGCCCACGGCTTGCTATGTTGTCCAGGCTGGTCTTCAACTCCCAGGCTCAAGTGATCCTCCCACCTCTGCCTCCCAAAGTGCTGGGATTACAGATGTGAGCCACCATGCCCAGCCAAAATTGTCCATATTTGACCTGAATATTATCTCATGTACCTTTCTTTTTCCCCTTTCTCTCCTTCCCTCCTGCTCCTCCTTCTCCCTCTCCTTCCTTCTGTCTTTTTCTTCCCTTCCTCTGCCTCTCTCTCCTCTTCCCTTTTTTCTTACTGGGACTCAAACTTGGGACATTTGACCCGGGAGCCTATTTGCTCAATCATCAAGAGACATAATCTCATGGTGGGGTGTCTACTGGTAAGTGTTGGCTGCCAGGATCCCAACTCCAGGCCGTCCTTCTAACCCAAGAGGTCCTGCCTCTGCCTAGAGCCTTCCATGGCTCCCCAGGGTCCTCTGTGATCGGCCATAGTGGTATAATGATTCCGTGTGCAATAACCCTGGTTCAAATCTTGACGCCAGCGCTCACCTCCTTCAGACCTGTGGGAACTTGCTGCTTAACAGCTCTGGTTTTCACCCGATTCTCTTACCTGAGAAATGGAGATAATAATAACACGGACTTCACCGGGGTGTGGGGAGCGCTAGGAGAGGCCATGCGTGTAATGTTATCCGGGCGGCAAGCTTATATTTAGGTCTATGAAAATAGAAGCTGTCAGTGGCTCTACTTTCAGAAGAAAGTGTCTTTCTTCCTGCTTAAACCTCTGTCCCTGACGGTCCCTGCCAGTCTCTCTGGTCGACCCCAACACACTAGGAGGACAGACACAGGCTCCAGACTCCACTAAGTGAGTACGTATCTGTGTGTGTCGGGGGTTGGCCATGGGAAGTGGAGATCGAAGCGCCCTTGGAAAAAATGACCTTCGGCTGAGCCTCAAGGGATGAGCAGGAGGAGGTCACAGCCAGAGAAGGGAGGTGGTGGGCGGTGAGAGTGGGGGTGGGGGCCGCATTGTGGACAGAATCTCGAGGCATTCAGGTCCCTGATTTGGGGAAGTGAAAACAGGCCATCTGGTCTGAGATGAGCTTGGTGAGTGTGCTGGGCCGATCATAGAGGGCCCTGGGGAGCCATGGAAGGCTCTAGGCAGAGGCAGGAGCTCTTGGGTTAGAAGGACAGTCTGGAGTTGGGATCCTGCCAACCGGCACTTACCAGTAGACACCCCACCATGAGATTGTGTCTGCAGATGATTGAGCAAATAGGCTCCCAGGTCAAGTGTCCCGGGTTTGAGTCTCAGTCCCACCACTGCGTGATGGGGATAAACGGCTTACCATCTTGGTACCTCTGTTCCATTGACAGAGGCCCCACAGAATGAGGACACTCCCCCAGCATCCTGCCAGTAGATTTACTGAGTACCTACTGTGTGCTGGTGCTTTGAATAGTCCCAATTTACAGATAAGCAAACTGAGCTGCTCGTCCAGGGAGAAGCCAGGACTCGGGCTCAGGTCTGTCCGGCTGCCTCCGTGGACACTTCCAGTCCCAGAATGGTGACACCTCTGGGCTCCTCTCACAATGTCAAAAGGGCCAGCTTGAGCTGCGGCTAATCAGAGCCTGGCCGCCCCACACGCCACCTCCCTGAGGCTCCGAGAGAAGGGACTTGCCTACAGTCAGGCAGCGAAAGAAGGTAGCCGGTGACCTCCAGGCCTGAAAGACCCCAAGTTCCATGCTCCTCAGCACATAATAGATGCTTTAAAGTCCGAGGACTTGGTCAGGTGCAGTGACTTAAGCCTGTAATCCCAGCACTTTGGGAGGCTGAAGCGGGTGGATCACCTGAGGTCAGGAGTTCGAGACCAGCCTGATCAATATGGCGAAACCCTGTCTCTACTAAAATACAAAAATTAGCCAGGTGTGGTGGTGGGCATCTGTAATCCTAGCTGCTTTGGAGGCTAAGACAGGATAATTGCTTGAACCCGGGAGGTGGAGGTTGCAGTAAGCCAAGATGGTGCCACTGCACTCCAGCCTGGGCAACAGAGTGAGACTCCATCTCAAAAAATTAAAAAAATAGGCCATGCACAGTGGCTTACACCTGTAATCCCAGCACTTTGGGAGGCTGAGGTGGGTGGATCACGAGGTCAGGAGTTTGAAACCAGCCTGGCCAACATAGTGAAACCCCGTCTCTACTAAAAATACAAAAATTAGCCTGGCATGGTGGCACGCGCCTGTAATCCCAGCTACTCGGGAAGTTGAGGCGGGAGAATCGTTCAAACTCAGGAGGCAGAGGTTGCAGTGAGCCGAGATCGTGCCCCTGCACTCCAGCCTGGGCAACAGAGTGAGACTCCATTTCAAATAAATAAATAAATAAATAAATAAATAAATAAAGTCAGAGCACTTTACAGATGCCCTGGGGACACCGGCAGAGGAGAAGGCTGAGGCCTGGGTTATGGGCTCTTAGCATTTCCCAGTGGGATATGGCACAGAGCAGATGCTTCATAAACATTTAGAATCTGAAGACCCACTGCGCACAGTCCCGCACCAAAAGCCTCAGGTATGCTGTGATCTCATTGGATCCTATCCTGGCCTCATGATTTGGGTGCTGTCATCAGCTCATTTTCCAGAAGGGAAAACTGAGGCTGAATCCTCGGCTGAGGGCGCACAGGCAAGGCAATTACAACAAAAGCTGGTGATATTTTTAGCACAGATCACCAACCCACAGTATAGGTGTTCTCAGTATCATCATTTTACGAATGAGGAAAGAAGTTTCCAGGTTAATTAAGCCATTTGTCAAGATCTCATGGGTGCACCTGCTGTGTAGCTCAAGTGTGATGAGCTCTGGGGGTGCCCCACTTCTGATCTCAGGCTGCTGTCTCTCCACATCAGCTGTGTCTCCCCACTAACCACGCTAGTGAGTCCAGATTGTAGACTAACCAAAATCAGCAGATAGTCACTGAGTACCCCCAAGTCCCAGACGCTACCCTGCGCTGGTAACTAGGGTTTGACGCCTCACCCTAACCATCATTAAAACCCAGACCCCAGCCAGAGCTGTGATTGTGCCCGCTGAGTGGACTGCGTTGTCAGGGAGTGAGCGCCCCATCTTCGGGAGAATCCAAGCAGGACCGCCATGGAGGAAGGTCAATATTCAGGTAGGAGGACTCTCTGGTTCTAACACTGGCAGAAGCAATGACCCTTACCTACTGCCTTTCACCCGGGAGAGAAGGGGGGCTCCCCAGTCCCTCTCTGGGAAAGAGGTGAATTTCGAAGAAAGGGACTGGTATGAGTAAGGAGGTGAGGCTGGACCGACTTTCCTGGCACAGAGCCAGGAAGGAGTGGAAAATTGAGGGCCCCTCCTTTTTCTGACTCAACACCCTCCTAACAAAAACAGAAAAACAAAGAGAAAAAGAACAAACGGCTCCAGCTAGCGAGCTGGGAGCCCAATAGAGTCAGAGGCCAAATAGAACAGGAACTTGAAACAAGTAGAATTTAGCATAATGAATCCTCCAAGCCAGGGTGAGTGCAGAGGGCCAGGGGCTTAGGGTGGGACATCCAGAGAGACCTTTGGGTGGGGCCTGGGAGAGCTTTGGAGGTCTGGATGTTGGATGACACCTGGGAAAGCGGCTGGGGAGTGGCTCCGATGTTGGGGAAGAACTGGGACTCAGTGTCCTGGGTTTAGGGAAGGGACTCTGGGTTGGGGACAGGTGCAGAGGTATAAGGGTGGGCTCTGGGGGTCAGAGGGGAAGGAAAAAGCAGGACCTGGTCTTCTGGAAGTGAGGCTGGGGGCCTGGCATTGGTTGTGGGGGCTGAGGGAGTCTTAGCTCTTGGTCCCAGATCTGTCTCTGTGGACAGTGACCCAGATCGAAGTCAGGTAAGGAAGCTGCACAAATGGAGCTGGGGTCCACTGAGACCCTCTGCTTCAGTGTGGGCTCTGGACAGGCTCCCAGGTTGTCGGGGGCTCTGGGTAATGGGGAGACGGACAGGGCCAGTGTCCAGCTTCGCCCTGCACCCATAGTCAGTCCCTCCACCCCCGGCAGAGATCGAGGAGCTTCCCAGGAAGCGGTGTTGCAGGCGCGGGACTCAGATCGTGCTGCTGGGGCTGCTGACCGCTGCTCTGTGGGCCGGGCTGCTGACTCTCCTTCTCCTGTGGCGTGAGGACATCCCCAGCCCCATGTGGTCCCCCCAACTCATGGGGCTCGTCTGTGTTCCCTCCCACACCCCCATCTCAGAGCCTGGGGAGCCCAACACACCTCTGAAAGCCCAATTTTCCCATCCTTCCTCCCACCTGGACACTGCCAGCCCTTTCCCATGACCCCCCTCCAAAGCCCGTCACCCCCCACCCAGCATCCCTGTCCTCCATCCTTTCATCACCTCCATGGCTTATACCCAAGACCTCCTTCCCCAGCTGGGAGATGGGGTGCAGGCAGGTGGGGGTACTGACAATCCCCACTCTCCACTCCTCTTCTCTCCCCCTCCCCAGACTGGGACACCACACAGCATCTAAAACAGCTGGAAGAGAGGGCTGCCCAGAACGGTATGAAGGGGTCAAGGTGGAGGTGGGTGGGGGTGAGGGTTAGGACGCCCAGCTCTCCTCCCGCTTCTCTCTGAGCCTCAGTGTCCCCTCACTAAGGAACTGAGGATCAGCCTAAGTTGCTCCCTGTCCTAAGGAAGGCGGGGAACCAGGGAAGCTTGGAAAAGTGCCTGATAGCATCTTAATACAGATGCTCTTCTGCTTGCAATGGGGTTATGTCCCCATAAGCCCATAGTACGTTAAAAATAGTGTAAGTTAAAAGTGCGTGGCTGGCTGAAGGCTTTGGCTCCCCACCACTGCCCAGCATTGCAAGAGAAGTAAGGTTTCCTCTAAATGCATATTGGTTTCAGACCATTGTAAAGTCGAGCCATTGTAACTCGAGCTATTGTAAGTTGAGCCATTGTAAGTCGGGCAGCCTTAAGCATCTGTAGCATAAGGAGTTTGTAACTGCTTTGTGCCTCCATTTCCTCATCTGTAAAATGGGCATAATTTTAGTGCCATGAGACAGAAACAGGCTCTAAGATTTGTGGAGTGTTCTGATAGTTGCCTACTGCTTTTATAGTTAATCCTGGGTGAGGGAAAGGTACACGGGTTCATTATATTCTTGCACATACCTTCCTGAGTACACTCCTCCTGTCCCAGTAAATGAACAAACAGCAACAGCAGCTGTTGTGACTATGTGAGAGGGTCCCTGAGCCTGGGGCATGGGCGGGGTCCAAGGACCTGCCTTTGAGGTTCCTGGGATATTTCTTCTCTCCCGCCGCTCCAGTCTCTCAAGTTTCCAAGAACTTGGAAAGACAGCACGGTGACCAGATGGCACAGAAATCCCAGTGTGAGTGACCCCTGGAGTGGGGGTTGCAGGGGGAAAAGCGAGGGGGTCTTGGATGACTTCCTGGACCCAGAGCGTTAAGACTCACTGTACCCCACCCCCAACGCCCGGGAACTGCAAACTGAGCAGGCGGCTCTAAGAACCCAGGCAGAGGCCAGGGGATGGGTGGGGGTAGATGGGGGAGACAGTGAGGACCTGCTGACCACGAAGGTCCCTCCCCTGCAAATAGCCACTCAGATTTGGCAGGACCTGGAGGAACTTCGAGCTGAACAACAGAGATTGAAATCTCAGGGTGAGAGACTGGGCTCGGGGGTATGGAACCAGATTGAGTGGGAAGGAGGGAGTGTCTCAGAGCCCTGGGGAACCGTGAGGCTGGGGGGCCAGGCTTGGCGGGTGCCGTCGGCCTGTACACATCCTCCCTGAGACCAGCCCTGCGCTCCTACGCACAACAGACTCGGAGCTGTCCTGGAACCTGAACGGGCTTCAAGCAGATCTGAGCAGCTTCAAGTCCCAGGGTGAGGCTTGGGAGGGGATGGGGCAGTGGGGGAGGGAACGGACAAGGAGGGGGCCTGCCAGTCGGTCTCTGAGCACCGCCCCCTGTCGAATCCCCAAGAATTGAACGAGAGGAACACGGCTTCAGATTTGCTGGAAAGACTCCGAGAGGAGGTGACGAAGCTACGGATGGAGCTGCAGGTGTCCAATGGTGAGTGTGTGAGTCTCGGCTCAGGATGGCGCGTGACCGCACCAGGGGCTCGGGTGTGTTGGCAAACGTGAATGACGGCACGCGTGTGTGACGTGAGGCAGCATGTCTATACATTTGTGTGACCCAAGTGTCATCAGGGGGACACAAAGCACGGGGTAGGGAGTGTGCTTGCATGCGAGGCAGAAGTGTGCGTGACGACAGAAATAGGACTAAGTTTCCGATGGGGCAGGACACATGGGGCATACATAAAACACCCCTTATTTTATTTTTTAAGAGGAGGGTTCTTGGCTGGGCGCGGTGGCTCACGCCTGTAATCCCAGCACTTTGGGAGGCCGAGGTGGATGGATCACGTGAGGTCAGGAGCTCGAGACCAGCCTGAACAACATGGTGAAACCCCGTCTCTACTAAAAATACAAAAATTAAGCCGGGCACGGTGGCTCACGCCTGTAATCCCAGTACTTTGGGAGGCTGAGGCGGGTGGATCACGAGGTCAGGAGGTCAGGCTAACATGGTGAAACCCCATCTCTACTAAAAATACAAAAAAAAAAAAAAAAAAAAATAGCCGGACGTAGTGGTGGGCGCCTGTAGTCCCAGCTGCCTGGGAGGCTGAGGCAGGAGAATGGCGTGAACCCGGGAGGCCGAGCTTGCAGTGAGCTGAGATTGCGCCACTGCACTCCAACCTGGGAGACAGAGCGAGACTCCGTCTCAAAAAAAACCAAACAACAACAACAACAACAACAAAAATACAAACATAAGCTGGGCGCAGTGGCTAATGCCTATAATCCCAGCACTTGGGAGGTCAAGGCAGGTGGATTATTTGAGGTCAGGAGTTCGAGACCAGTCTGACCAACGTGATGAAACCCCCATCTCTAATAAAACTACAAAAATTAGCTGGGTGTAGTGGTACACGCCTGTAGTCTCACTACTCAGGAGGCTGAGACAGGAGAATTGCTTGAACCCGGGAGGTGGCGACTGCAGTGAGCCGAGATCGCGCCACTGCACTCCAGGATGGCAACAGAGCGAGACTCCATCTCAATAAAAATTTTTTAAAAATTAGCCGGGCGTGGTGGCAGACATTCGTAATCACAGCTACTTGGGAGGCTGAGGCACAAGAATCACTTGAACCCGGGAGGCGGAGGTTGCAGTGAGCCGAGATCATGCTCTCTTTGCACCACTGCACTCCAGCCTGAGCAACAAAATGAGACTCTGTCTCAAAAAAAAAAAAAAAAAAAAAGAGGTGGAGTCTTGCTCTTTTGCCCAGGCTGAAATGCAATGGTGCAATCTTCGCTTACTGCAGCCTCCAACTCCTGGGCTCAAGCGATCCTCCCACCTCAGCTTCCGGAGTAGCTGAGACTACAAGCGTGTGCCACCACGCCAGGCTAATTTTTTTATTTTCCTGTAGCCACGGGGTCTCCCTATGTTACCCAGGTTGGTCTTGAACTCCTGGACTCCAGCGATCCGTCTGCCTCAGTCTCCCAAAGTGCTAGGCTTATAGGCATGAGTCATTGCACCTGGCCCTAGCTAAGTTTTTTTATTTTTTGTAGCAACAGGATCTTGCTATGTTGCCCAGGCTGTTCCCGAACTCCTGGGCTCCAGCAATCCTCTTGCCTCCGCCTCCCAAAATGCTGAGATTACAGGCATGAGCCATCTTACCTGGCAAGAATGCCCTTTCTGATTCCAACTGAGTCCTTTCACAGATTTGGAGGCTCCTACAATTTTTTTTCTCTTCTGGGTTACAGCAGTCCAGTGTTGACCCTAGCTGGGATCTCCCTGCTGTTGTCCTCTGCCTGATGTGCCCCAGTGAGGAGTCATTAGTAGGATTCCCACGCACACGGCCCTCCTGGTAGACTGTCTGACCAGGTCAGGGAGCCGGACAGGGGTACTGTCTGCCGTGATGGGACAATGGAGATGGTGACCTCTTTCCCAGGGGTGGCAGTAATGGAGGCAGTGTTGACCCCAGGAGGCCAGCAGGCTGCAGAGAGAGCAGACATTCAGTCACTGTACCCTTAAGGCGAGGTAGGGACCAGGTGCACTGGCTCACGCCTGTCATCCCAGCACTTTGGGAGGCCGAGGCAGGAGGATCACCTGAGTCCAGGAGTTTGAGACCAGCCTAGGCAACACAGCCAGATCCTGCCTGAACAAAAAAATGAAAAAATTAGCCAGATGTGGTGATGTGTACCTGTAGTCTCATCTACTCGGGAGGCTGAGGTGGGAGGATCACTTGAGCCCAGGAGTTTGAGGCTGCGGTGAGCTAGGATTGAGCCCCTGCGCTCCAGCCTGGGCAACAGAGTAGGACCTTGCCTCTGAAGAAAAAAAAATGTTAGTGCGGGGTAGGAACCGGGGTTTTACAGCCCTGCCATTCACCCAACCAATGCCCCCACCCTTGATTTTTGGTCTTTGACCTCTGGGAAGCCCCAGCTGTCCTAACTGGGGCAGAGAAGGGGAAGTTTCTGTGCTTGGTGTGATGGAGTCCCGTCCCCTGGGATGTGAGGTCGCCTTGGGAATCCCAGCCAGAAACCTCAGTGTGGTCCCTCAGGGAGAGGCATAGGGGAAGAGTACTCTGGACCACAACTACTTCTGACAGGTCACCTCCTAATTCTTCCGCAGTCCCTGAAGTTTCCCCTAAATCCAGCCCCACAGCCTGGGATCTGAGCCTGGCTCTGAGGTTGTCTCTGGGTGACTGTGTAACAACCAACCAAGACACTTGCCCCTGAAGTTTCCTTTAAGGGCTCAGAAATGTCCTCTTCCTGGTTTGGGGGGTTTGGGTTTTTCTTGTTGTTGTTGTTGTTGTAGTTTTGAGACAGGGCCTGGTTCTCTCACCAAGGCTGGAGTGCAGTGGGACAATCATGGCTCACTATGGCCTCAAACTCCTGGGGTCAAGTGATCCTCTCATCTTGGCCTCCCAAATCACTGGGATTACAAGTACGAGCCACTGCACCTGGCCACCTCTTCCTGTTTTAACGCCGCACCCAGAGGACTGAGCACTGGTTACCACTGCATGGGTGAGAAACAATCCGACTCAAGCTACTGCAGACCCTAAGCCCCTTAGAAGAATCTGACCATGAGAGGGTGGGCGCAGTGGCTCACGCCTGTAATCCCAGCATTTTGGGAGGCCGAGGCAGGAGGATCACTTGAGCCCAGGAGTTTGAGACTGGCCTGGGTAACGTGATAAGACCCTGCCCCTTAAAGAAAAAAAAAAAATCTGTAGTCAGGCGCGGTGGCTCACGCCTGTAATCCCAGCACTTTGTGAGGCCGAGGCAGGTGGATCACCTGAGGTCAGGAGTTCGAGACCAGCCTGACCAACATGGTGAAACCCCGTCTCTACTAAAAATACAAAACTTAGCCGAGCGTGGTGGTGGACGCCTGTAGTCCCAACTACTCAGGAGGCTGAGGCAGGAGAATCGCTTGAACCCAGGAGGCGGAGGTTGCAGTGAGCTGAGATAGCACCACTGCACTCCAGCCTGGGAGACAGAGCAAGACTCTGTCTCGAAACAAAACAAAACACATCTGACCACGTGTAGTGGAACCCTCCCTGCACATCACTATAGGAAAACCGACTTTCTTAAAGTGGATTTTTGCTGTGTTGCCCAGGCTAGTCTCAAACTCCTGGGCTCAAGCGATCCTCCTGCCTCAGCCTCCCAAGTAGCTGGGATTACAGGTGCACACCACTGCTGAAAATCTATTTTGAAGCAAGAAAGATTTGATCCAGTAAGAGTGGGTTTAACCTCCTACCTGGGAGGTGATAGCAACAATGTCTGGGAGTCTCCTTGGGGTGGAGGGAAGGGGAGAAAGAGACCATATTGAGGGATTGTGGGATCTAGTCTTACAATCCCATTGGCTCTTCTGACCAAAGCCTCCCACTGGAAGAAAATCATTTCAATTTCCCAGACATTGACTAGGAGTGCTGGTTTGGGGGGTCCTGCCAGGGATGATGACCAGGGCAGTTGGTGGGGATGGTGCTTGGGGAAAGTAATCGCTGGTGGACTTGGCCACAGCACTGGTTTTGCTGTTAGTGCTGGTGATGAAGACATGGTTGGTGTGGTTGGTAAAGATGGTGTCGGCTGTGGTGTGGGTGGTGGAGATAAGTCACTGCTGGTGGTGGGTGCCTCTGGTAATGATATCAGTGATTAAGGTGTTGCTGACCTTGGAAGCGTCTGTTGGTGGTTGAAGTGCTGCTGGCCATGAGGTGTCTGTCATGATGTGGTTGGTGGCTGAGGCACTGTTTGTTGGCCATGAGGTGTTTGTGCTGATGATGGTGGTTGAAGTGTTGTTGGATATGAATGTGTTTGTGGTGACAGCGATGGTGGCTGACTTGCTGCTGACCATGGTGCTGGTGATTGAAGTACTGCTGGCCATGGATGTATTGACGGTAATGGTGTCAGCAGTTGAAGCACTGCTGGTCAAGAGTGTATTTATAATGATGGTGTTGGTGGTTGAACTGCTTCTGGCCATGAGGTGTTTGTGGTGACTTTGGCATCAGCTGAGGTGTTGCTAACCATGAGGTGTTAATGGTGATAATGTTAGTGATTGGCGTTCTGCTGGCTGTAAGGTGTTTGTGGTGACAGTGTTAGTGGTTTACGTGTTGTTGGATATGAATGCATTCATGGCAATAATGTTGGTAGTTGATGTGTTGTTGGACATGAATGTGTTTGTGATGATGATGTTGGCAGTTGATGTGTTGATGGATGTGAATATGTTCGTGGTGCTGGTGTTGGTAGTTGATGTCTTGATGGACATGAATGTGTTCGTGGCACTGGTGTTGATAGTTGATGTGCTGATGGACGTGAATGTGTTCGCGGCGATGGTGTTGGTAGCTGATGTGTTGATGGACGTGAATGTGTTCATGGTGTTGGTGTTGGTATCTGATGTGTTGATGGACGTGAAGGTGTTCGTGGCGCTGGTGTTGGTAGTTGATGTGCTGACGGACATGAATGTGTTCATGGCGATGGTGTTGGTAGCTGATGTGTTAATGGACGTGAATGTGTTTGTGGTGATGGTGTTGGTAGTTGATGTGTTGATGGACGTGAATGCATTTGTGGTGATAGTGCTGGTGGTTGAGGTGCTTCTAGTTGTGAGGTATTTGTGGTGACAGTGTTTGCGGTTGCAGTGTTGCTGGCTGTGGAACTGGTGATGTGGTCATGGTGTTGGTGACTGGGGTGTTGCTGGCTATGGGTGTATTTATGGTGATGATAATAGTTGTTGAGGAGGTGTTTGTGGAGATGATGTTGGTGACTGATGCTCAGCTGGCTGTGAGGCATTTGTGATGATGGTGTTGGTGGCATTTTTGACCATGTGCTATTTGTGGTGCTGGTGTTGGTGGTTGAAGTGCTGCTGGCATGAGGCGTTTGAGGTGATGAGGGTGGTCAAAGTGCTGTTGGCAATGGTGCTTGTGGCTGAGGTGCTGCTGGTTGTGGAACTGGTGATGTGGTGGTAATGTTGGGGATCGAAGTATTGCTAGCCATGGATGGATTTATGGTGATGTTGGTGGCAGTTGAGGCACTTCTAACTATGAGGTGTTGATGGCGATGGTGTTAGTGATTGCTGCTCTGCTCACTGTGAAGTATTTGTGGTGATGGGATTTGTGGCTGAGGTGCTGCTGACTGTGGAGCTGGTGATGTGGTCATGGCGTTGGTGATTGAAGAGTTCCCAAGCCATGCTGGATTTAAGGTGATGAGAATGACAATTGAAGGGCTTCTGGCCATGGTGGTGCTTGTGGCGATGGTGGTTGAAGTGTTGTTGGACATGAATGCGTTTCTGGTCATGGTGTTGATGGTTCAAGGGTTTCTAGCTGTGAGGTGTCTGTGGTGATGACGGTGGTTGAACTATTGTTGGATATGAATGTGTTTCTGGTCATGGTGTTGATGGTTCAAGGGCTTCTAGCTGTGAGGTGTCTGTGGTGATGACGGTGGTTGAACTATTGTTGGATATGAATGTGTTTATGGTCATCATGTTGATGGTTCAAGGGTTTCTAGCTGTGAGGTGTCTGTGGTGATGATGGTGGTTGAAATATTATTGGACCAGGCGCGATGGCTCAAGCCTGTAATCCCAGCACTTTGGGAGGCTGAGGCAGGCAGATCACCTGAGGTCAGGAGTTCGAGACCAGCCTGACCAACATAGTGAAACCCCGCCTCTACCAAAATTACAAAAATTAGCAGGGCATGGTGGTGGGCACCTGTAATCCCAGGTACTCAGGATACTGAGGCAGGAGAACCGCTTGAACCCGGGAGGCAGAGCTTGCAGTGAGCCAAGATCATGCCACTGCACTCCAGCCTGGGCGACAGAGCGAGACTCTGTCTCAAAAAAAAAAAAAAAAAAAAGAAAAGAAAAGAAAGAAAAATAAATATTATTGGACATGAGTGTGTTTGTGGCCTTGGTGTTGATGGTGAGGGGCCTCTAGTTGTGAGGTGTCTGTGGTGATAACGGTGGTTGAAGTGTTGCTGGACGTGAATGCGTTTGTGGTGATGGTGCTAGTGGTTGAGGAACCTCTAGCTGGGAGGTGTCTGTGGTGATGATGGTGGTTGAAGTGTTGTTGGATGAGAGTGTGTTTGTGGCATGGTGTGGTGTTGACCATGTTGGACCTGAATTTGTGGTGACGGCGTTGGTGCTTGTGTTGCTTCTGGCCATGAGGTGTTTGTGGAGATGCTGACGGTGGTTGAGGTGTTGATGGTCGACGCCGTGCTCTGCTAACTGTGAAGGTGTTTGTGGCCACAGTGGCTGAGGTGCTTCTGCTATGGAACTGGTCGGCATCACAGCTCCAGCAAAGAACACAACCCAGGAGGCCGTCTGTTAGGCCCTGGGGTGTGTCTGCTTTTAGCCGGGACCCCAGGAGTGGCCCTAGGAGAGGCACCGCCACCTACTCTGCCCAGGGTGCCCATGGCACCTCCCTTGGCACCACCCCTGAGCCTTTTCTCCACCCCAGGCTTTGTGTGCAACACGTGCCCTGAAAAGTGGATCAATTTCCAACGGAAGTGCTACTACTTCGGCAAGGGCACCAAGCAGTGGCTCCACGCCCGGTACGCCTGTGAGGACATGGAAGGGCAGCTGGTCAGCATCCACAGCCCGGAGGAGCAGGTGGGCCCAGGCTCTGCAAAGGTGGTGGGCAGCACGGCGAAGGTGGGGGGACCCCTGCCCTACTCTACCCAACCTCTCGAAGTGGGCTGGAAGGCCCCGGGCACATGTCTCCAGTCCTCCAGCCCTGTCCTGCCCCCCAGGACTTCCTGACCAAGCATGCCAGCCACACCATCTCCTGGATTGGCCTTCGGAACTTGAACCTGAAGGGGGAGTTTATCTGGGTGGACGGGAGCCCCGTGGACTACAGGTGAGGAGGGGGCCTCTGGGATCCAGGGGAGGAGGCAGAAATACTGTGGAGGGAGGAGCTCCCTGAATAAACTGCACCGGGAAACGGGTGAGGACTCAGAGAGAAGGGTCTCTAGGGTGCAGGGCAGGAGGATGCCAGTGGGGGTGGGGGGACCTGGCCAAGGCTTCTCTGACCTGGAGGAGGAGATATAGAGGAAGGGGCATGGATTAGAAGGGTGAGTCTTGGCCAGGCAGGGTGGCTCTTGCCTGTATGGGAGGCCGAGGTGGGTGGATCACCTGCCAGGAGTTCAAGACCAGCCTGGTCAACATGGCGAAACCCCTCTCTACTAAAAATACAAAAATTAGCCAGACATGGTGGCGGGCGCCTGTAATCCCAGCTATTTGGGAGGCTGAGGCAGGAGAATCACTTGAACCCAGGAGGTGGAGGTTGCAGTGAGCCAAGATCACGCACTGCACTCCAGCCTGGGCGATAGAGTGATTCTGTCTAAACAACAACAACAAAAATAAATAAATAAAATAAGGGTGAGTCTTGGGCTGCAGGGTATGGGGCACCAAAATGAAGTACAGGTCCCCAGGCACAGACTCAGGATGGGGGAACTTGGGGTGAGAAGGGAGGGTGCAGACTCAGAGGGCTGTGTCCAGGCTGCTGGGAACTGGGCCCCTTCTCCCTGCCCCATTCCCTGACCCCAAAGCCTTTTGCTCCAGCAACTGGGCTCCAGGGGAGCCCGCCAGCCAGAGTCACGGCAAGGACTGCGTGATGATGCGGGGCTCCAGCCACTGGAACAACGCCTTCTGCGACCGTAAGCTGGGCTCCTGGGTGTGCGACCGGCTGGCCACGTGTGCGCCGCCAGCCAATGAAGGTTCCGCAGAGTCCCTGGGACCTGAATCAAGACCGGGCCCTGACGGCCGCCTGTCCGCCCCCTCTGCCCCTCTCCACTCTTGAGCATGGACACAGCCAGGCCTAGAGCGAGACCCTGAAGACCCCCAACCCCGGCCTAAATGCCTCTTTGTGGCTGAAAGATCCCCGTGACATTTTCTGCCACCCAAACGGAGGCAGCTGATACATCTCCGGCTCCTCTGCGGCCCCTGCCTTCCCAGGAATGTCCCCCAACAGCATCCTCTCCACATGGGAGTGCCCCCAAACACCACCCTCTCCAGATGCAGCCCCATGTCCTCAGCACCCCAGGACCTCAGTACCCCAGCTCAGGTGGGGAGTCCTCCTGTCCAGCCTGCATCAATAAAATGGGGCAATGATGGCCCCCACATTTGTCTCCTTCTTGGAGGCCTGGCTGGGTCTGGTCTCTGGGTATGGCATGTGGCACTCAACCCCCCAACCCTATGGCCAGAGCCGCCCCCATCACCCCCACTCTATTGTAAACACATTTGGACCTGGTCTCCCTCCCCAGCCTGGGGCAGGGCTGTGGCTCAAGATACTGAGTGGATCTGAGGCCCCCACACAAGACACAAGACACTTGGGGAGGGGGCTCCCTGTATCCTTTATCTCTGGCAGGGTCAGCGGCCCTCCAGGGCCCGGTCTCGAGCGATGACCGCCTCCTCGAACTTGATCATGAGCGTGGTGCCCTTGTGCCAGTGCGCTGTGACCTTGGCAGGGAAGCCGCTGTGTGTGAGCACCGCCTCCACGATGCCCGCTGTGAAGCTGGCACAGTTGAGCGTGCTGTTCTCCTTGGGCACGGAGATGTAGGTGTTGATGAGCGGCTCACGCTCGATGATATAGAAGGTACGCGCGTCATCGTTGGCCTGCTCCAGCTTGTCCGCCTCCTTGCCGAAGAGCGCCTTCCACACTGCACCTTTGACGAAGAGCAACGCGCCCAGCACCTTGGTCTCACGCCGGGCACCCTTTTCGCGCGCCACCAGCGCATCCAGCACGCGCGCGCCCACCTGGCGGCCCAGCGCGGCCAGGCGCGCCTGCAGCTCCGCCACGGAGAAGACGCGGCTCTGGCAGTGCTGCACCAGCTCAGAGAACAGCAGTGCGAAGGCGCTCAGGCTCACCTCCGTGCGCGGCCGCGCCAGCGCGCGCTCCAGCAGCGCCGACTTCCCGCGCGTAAAGCGCGCCTCCATGCCGCCGCCGCCGCCCTGCTGGGAGACCAAGAAGCGCGGGTGTCAGGGGCAACTGAGAAGGGGACTAGGCAGGGAGGGAAGGAAGGAGAACCACGAGGGGCCCTGGGACACCCTCGCCCCATGCCACCGTTGTGTGCTCCAGTGCCGACTTCCCACGTGCAAAGAGATGCGCGTAAAACACGCCTCGATTACATGTAACCAAGATAAATCAGGGAAGTGGGGAGGCTTACACCCTCGGCAGGCAGCAAGCCAGCAGGAGTAGGGACAAGGTGGAAGGAGAGACACGAAGGGGAACAGAAGAGGGCGCCGGAAACCACCCAACTCTAGGGCACGCAGACTGTTCAATTGCGAAAAGCGCCTTCCTGCCCGCTCCGCCACCTATGGGAGTAACTAGAAAACTAGTGTATGGGGGGAGGGGCGTCAGATCTAGGGCAGGGAGATGACAGAGATGAGTTACCAAGAGGGGATATGGGCAGTCGCCCCTGCCCCGTCATGCGCTCCAGCACTGAGGACCCTCGGGAACTTTCCTGCCCGCCCCCTGCGGAAAGCCAGAGTAAAGGGGGTGGAGGGTGGCAGTGGGATAGGAGCGTGTCAAGACCAAAGGCCATGAGGGTTGGGGGCTTGAACAGGTGAGATCCGTGGGGCCAGGCAGGAGGAGCGGGGAACCCCCAACCCCAAGCCCTCAGGCAGCTCCGATGTGTCACGCAGGAACCCTTCGTCCTTTGAGACGCGGATGGGCCTGGATTCTGAAGGCTGGGAGGAGGGGCCCAGAGGTGTTGGGAGCCTCCCACCCCCCCCCGCTCGTGCTCTCCAGAGAGGAAGCTGGATGCTGAGCAACAGTGGTCCTCCCATCAGCTGTCGGTACAGGGAGAGGGAGATGGGGTAGGCGGCTCCCGGAGAGAAATGGGGTGGGGGGCGGGCGCCGAGACGGGTTCGGAGAGGCAGCTGAGAACATGCTGCCACCATGCATGGGGTGGTCTGTGGATGCTGAGCCGACCCCAACGAGGTCTGCGTGGGAGGTGGGAGAACTAGCTGGGAGGGGAGGGAGGTCCCAGGGGCTCCGGGTCGCCCCAGCCCCAGCATACAGATCCGTCCGTGGCGAGGGCCGTGGGCGCGCGAGATGAGAAGGGGATCGCTAAGACCCCACCACCGGGCTGCGATGCGGGCTGAAGTGAGCTGAACCGCCGCAGGGACAGGGCCCCGCGACTCTCGCTCCGTACCTCTACAATGGGGAGAAACCCACCCTCCTCGCAGCCTCCTGAAGGGGGCGGAAGCGAGCGGACCCGGGATCGCGGACGTCGAGACCCCAGCCCGGGACCCACAGGCCCGCGGGGAAGGGGTCGGGAGCGCACCAGGCCCGGCACGGGCAAGGAGGGAAGGCAGGGTCTCACCAGGAACCGCAGCCTTCGGCTGGGCAGCGCTGCTTTACGGCGCCGTAAAAGGCGCTGCGTGCGCAGGCGCGCGACGGGCCAGGCGTGTGGGCGGGGCGCGTGCGGCGGTGCCCGAGAGCGGCCGCACGGGGGCGCGCGAGTCCGTGGAGCCGGACCCCGGGACTTGGCCCGCGGCTGTGATCGCTGCTCTGCGCGTGGTCAGGGTCTCGCTAACTCTTGGTGGCCCACGCTGGAGGGGACGCTTGCAGGCCTCGTCACCTGCTCAGGGCACGCGTATAACAATGGGCCCATGTATACCCTTGCACGTGGACACACCTGTTCACGTTTCCAGACACTCCTATGCCCTTGGGGATGGGTTCAATCGTCTTAAGTGTATCCATGTGGCCGGGCTCGGTGGCTCCTGCCTGTAACCCCAGCATTTTTGGAGACGGAGGTGGGAGAATCACTTAGGGCCAGGAGTTTGAGACCAATCTGGCCAACATTGCGAGACCCCCACCTCTTTAAAAAAAAAATTAGCCAGGTGTGGTGGTGTGAACCTGTAATCCCAGCTACTCGGGAGGCTGAGGCAGGAGGATCGCCTCAGCCCAGGAGGTCGAGGCTGCAATGAGTCATGATCGTACCACTGCCCTCCAGCATGGGTGACAGAGGAAGACCCTGTCTCAAAAAACAACAAAAAAAATAAGTGCATGCATGAGCGGTGGACATAGTACATTAGAGTCATGTACACTCATGGATGCATGCTCAGTGGCATAGATACACTCACGGGCACGATTACACACATGGGTACACGCTTGGGGTTTGTATATATCCGTGGGCCCAGGTACACTCAGGGAGATGTTGTACGCTCAGGGGCACCCACTTTGGGACACAGGGAATGAGTTACTCATTCACAGACACACAGGTACTCACGCAGGGCACTCAGTCTCACCCACCCTTGTGCCCCGGGGTCATTGTCACGTGCAGACTCTCCCTCTCCCCAGGTCCCAAAGCCCCTCTAGTTGCCCCAATAACAGGTCCCATAGCGACGCTGTTTTCCCTTGACTTTATTTATCTTCATGAGTCACAAAATGTGAGTGCAGAGATAAATGACTGTCTGTGTGCATGTGCCCTGAGCACACAGGGTGACATAACTTGGCACACTTATAATGACACAGCCGTTCACCCAGGCACAGTGACAGGGCACACACGGTGACACCCACATGTGCAGAGATACATCTCCCCCATCATGACATGTGTAGACACAAAACACGCCACAGTACACTCGGGTACGTTTACACAAACAGGGAGACAGGCCCGTGCAATGCATGTCACCAACACCCACACTCAGAGTGACACCTGGAGGTCCTCAGACACAGCCACCCACCGTGACATGCTGAGACTCACGTATGTCATGTGACACAGATGTGCACGCCACACTCACTGTGACTCTCAGTTCTATTTATTCATCACCTTTCTGGGGGATACACTGAAATGTCCACCCTTTGCAAAATGCACACACATGCACACACACACCGCGCACACACACGCGCACACACACCACGCACACACACACGCAGGTGTACACACACACGAGCAGCTCCGACACACTCATTCACCATGACTCGAGGTTTTCTATATGTGGGACGAGGGGCAGGTTCACACTAGGCTGGAGGGGGGTCATTTCCCGTCTTCATTAGCAGATGCAGCCCCGTCTTCCAAGCTTTAGCTTTGGCTGCCACAATGTTCTCCCATTTATTGAGGTGGGGACTCTGGGGATGGGGAGAGACCCACAGTGAGGCAGATCCCGCCCCTGGGAGAGGAACTGGGGCTAAATCCAAAGCCCCACCCACCCTCCTCCACCTCCCCTCGGGGCGCCAACTTACGTGGCTTTGTCTGCAGCAACTCCAAGATTTTCTGTACCTTTACGTTAATGTTTCTTATGTCTGGGGGCGGGGAGGGTTGGGCGGGAACAGATACGTCAAGCTGCCGTGGAGCCTCAGACAAAGCCCCCACCTTCCTTGGAAGCCCCTCCCTGCCCCACACCCACCCTGGGGTACAGCAGAGCCCGTGGATTTGGGGTTCCCAGGAGCCTTTAAATACCTACAGAGCGACCCAGAGGGTAACACCCATTGCCCCTCCACAACTTGAGCTTTGGGAGGGTAGGACGCCGGCTATCTCCTTCCCTGAATTCCCTGCCCCCAGCTCAGTGCCAGGCATTGGTGACAAATTTCCCCCACAGAAGGCAAGACTACACAGGCACCTGCTAATTGCATCTCTAATTTCTCCACCTTGCTCCTGACCGTGGTGATGTTCCCCTGAACAGATTTCCAGACTCCTTTCTGTCTCTCTTCGCATGCTTGCATCGAGTTTGAGACTGAGGGCATGAAACAGGGGTGTCTGTGCATCCATCCCTCTCCAGATCCCTACCATGACCCCATGGGTCTCCCTCAGACCCTCTGCTCACCGTTCCAAAGCTCCGTTTTAAAGCCCAGCAGCTGCTTGGACATCTCAGCATCTGTTTAGGAGGGGCAGGAAAATCCTTGAAGCACCCAGGGAGAGAGAGAGAGAGGGACAAGGGAGAAAGTCTAGGGCCCCCCAGCACCCTCCTCCCAAGAAGTACTCACTCTTCATCATGATGAAGGCCGACAGGATGATGCAGAGGACAAAGGCCAGGGCCAGGAGGATGTACAGGCTCAGGATGGCTCTGTACAACCAGCGGGGGACCTGGGTGGAGTCTGAGGGTGGCCTGCCCTGGGCTGGGACTGGAGCAGAGAGGCGGCAAAGTGACCTTGAGGGGCCAGCACCACCACTCAAACCATCCTCACTGT